TCACGCCGCCATGCCACGAACTTTCTTCACTCCTTCCTGGAGGGGGCCTCACGCGACGAGTATCACGTCGTCTCAGGTTCTGTGGATCTTGCCGAGGTGTGTCGCCAGCAAAAGGCGGCCCAGAGGCCTCTGGAAGATTACTCCACTGTGCTCCTCGCCTCGGAGCGCTCACGGGCGCGCCCAGACGCCGCGCGGGCTCCAGGGGATTGCCAGGAGGGCTGCAAGGCCCACAGACCAGGGCTGCCCCAAGTGTGCAGCAGTCCACTGTGCGTAAGAGTGACCCTTCGCCAAAGTGACCTTGTTGGTGCGGGTTCACCGGGCTCCCCCCGATCGCTGAGCGCGATGCGATAGCAGCCGCTTTCGCGCTCAGACTTGGCCACCTCGCGCCCCCTGGAGCCGTGCACCAAAGTCGGCCAAGCGCCGAAAGGGGGCAGGGGGAGGGGGGAAGGCTTCTTAGAAGCACTCCTGCCTCTTGGAAGGCGCGGGCCTTATATCAGGCGATCGTAAACATGGATCAAGGGGGCGTGGATTAGCGACGGGTCTTGCTTCCATTGGAAATCACGGATTTCCGCCGCCGAGCGAGGCGGCACCGGCCGCATTTTGGGGAGGGCACCTCCCCCGATCCATGGATTTTGGCGACCGCGCGCCAAATCCGCGGATCGCTACTCCATGTTTGCGCGCCCCCGATAAGAGGCCCGCGCCCTCTAAGGAGCCGCCTCCTTCTAAGAGGCCTTCCCCCCTTCCTCTGCCCACCCGTGCGCGCCGCCAACCGAGTGCCACTCTTGCCTGGGGGCAGCTCTCGCGCGCAGCCGGAGCAGGGCCGGCAAGCCAGAACTGAGGCTGTGCTCCTGCCCCCCCCCCCCCTCCTTGCTGCTCATGCTCAGAGGAGGAAGAGGTACCCACACCGCTACCCCTCGCTCGTTTTCCCCTCTTTCGGCCTCCTGGGCGACCCTCGTCACCACGGCTGGATTCGCCTCGACATCCTGGTCAGAACGCACCCCGGGCGAGATCCGGGAGTAGCGGGATTGGTACCTTTTGCTCTCCCCGGATGCTGCTCATCCTTCTTCCCATCCCTTACAGTGGGGGCCCATGCCAAGAAACCCTGCTGGCCTCCAGGGTGCCCTGGGTTTCTTGGGTTTCGACGGTTCTGCTGTGGAAGGCGTGAGACGTTCCACGCCAGAAATCGATGGACGCCCTGGGGTAGCAGGGTTGGGTTTCTTCTGGACTGGCCTCCGCTGTATGATCATCCTGCTCCTGCTCCTTCAGATCTGCCTGGACCGTGCTCACGCTGTCAACGACGACGCCCTCACAGACCAGTGAGTCGGCCAGAGTATCGGAAGGCAGCGCAAGAGGCCACCAAGATGTTGCCGAGACGGCCCCGTGGAGGTACCACCCCCATCCTGGAGAGGACATCTTGTCGGGCTCAGTGCTGGGTCTGCCACAGGCACCCCTGGGGCTGCGAGAGGCCCCGACCGGGTCCCAACACGCCCCAGAGTCGGCCCGGATGGGGGGGAGGGTTGTCGAACTGAGGAGGGCCCCCCCTCTCTGAATTGCAAGGGGGTGGGTTTGAGCTGGCGTGGGGGGGCGGCGGGCTTCTTCCCCCATTTGGCAAACGACAGCGGCGAGCCCTGGCGCCAGCGCCGCCGTCGGGCAATGACGACGACGAACGACGACGACGACGATGGTCGAGCATGGGTAGGATGATATTATGGCTGGATCGAGTCCTAGTAATATTTATTTCGAGGTGGATCGAGACCTGCCAGGATTCAATTAGAGCTTGATGTAGCCACAGTAGGGTGCTATGAGTGCTGGATCGAACCAGAGTAGGATTCAGTTAACGAGAGCCCTGGTTTAGCTATAGTAGGGCCTGATTAAAGTTGGACCGAGCCCGAGTAGGATGCTGATAACATTGGATCCAGCTGTAGTAGGAGTCCATTATAGCTGGATTACAGCTGGATAGATCCTAAGTAGGGTTCAAGCAATCCAGCTACTGTGGGTTTCTAGTAGAGTTGGATCGAGCCCGACTAGGGTGCTAGTAAAGTTGGACCCAGCTATCGGTAGGATTCCTAAAAAGCTGCTTAGCAGGGTTCTCTTGGAGGGAGGGGCGGGCGTTTCGATCCCCCCCCCCCCTTGTGCACGGGGTGGGGGGTGGGGGATCCTCCCGGTCCGAGAGGCCGATGTCCAGGAGGTGCCCCCTGCCCCTCCCCCGTTCTGTAGGGTGAGGAGGAGGATGATGAGGAGGAGGAGGAGGTGGAGGTGGAGGTGGAGGAGGGGGGAGGAGTGAAGAACGTCGCATTCTATAATCAGTACTTCCTTGGCGTGGTGTTCAGCTTTCCGCAGTAGATCCTCACCTACATGCTCCTTCTACCTGTCCTGTGCACACAAGAATTGTGGTGGACACCAGCGCTGCGTTGCACGCGGATGCTGTGGTGTAGACAGGCGCTGTGATGTGCAGCACGCCAGCATTGTGGTGTACTCAGGCGCTGTGTTGCACATGGTTGCTGCGGTGTACACACTCGCTGTGGTGTGCACAGGCGCTGTGGTGTGGTGCACACAAGCACTGTGGTGTACACAGGCGCTGCGTTGCACACGGCTGTTGCGGTGTACGCAGGCGCTGTGGTGTACACGCGCGCTGTGGTGCATGCGAGCATTGTGGCGTACACTGGCGCTGTGGGGTAGATCGCCGCCTACATGCTGCTCCCACTTGGCCTCGGTCATCCCTAGGCATTCCTGAACGCCGCCGGCGCGGAACGTGACGTCATCTGGGGGGGGGTGGGGCGGGGCCGATGACGGTCGCTATCCCGCAAAATAAAAAAACGGGCTCCTGTGGTGCCTGAGCCACACGGGGAGGGTGGGAGGCCTTACGCTATTCCCCCCCCCCGCCTCCCCGTAACGCCCGTTATTGCCGAAAATAAAGAAGCGCGCTCCACCTCGTGTGTAAATACAGCCTGGTCGCACCTCCTTGGCGCGAGCCGTTTTTGATAGCCAGGGTGTCAGAAACGGACCCCGCTTGCCGAAAATTGCGACCAAACGATTTTTCGAGTGTCTCCAAAGGTCGTAAGAGGCCACCCAGAGATCTCCACCCCCTCAGGCCTCCAGATGCCCACCCATTGCCGAAAACGCCCGAGAGTTTCTTTAATTGGCAACTCCTCATTGCCGCACCCCCAGACGTGTTGGTAGGGCGGGATGGGCCATTCGTTCGAGACTTCCTCATCGTTATTGAGATTGACCTGAAGCTTGAAAGTTATGATATTTACATAGGCGGGCCGAGATGCGTTTTCAACATGGGGTTCTCGCCCCCGCGCGCTGCGCACAGTCGTTTCAAAAGCTTGCAGCTCGGATCGAGAGGTGTGGTTTTCAAAATGAGGCTCTCGCCTCAGCGCCGCGCACGTTCGTTTTCATAAGCTTGCAACAGCTACAGGGATGGATGGTGGTTCCATTTCACACTGGGGCTCGCGCCGCAGCGCCGCGCACGTTCGGTTGAAACGTTGTGACAGTTGCAGACATGTCGGGGGATGCGTCCTAAATGGAGCTCTAGCCTAGACGGACGAAGGAGGGCGGTTTTTTCAAGAGGGGGTTCTCGCCGCAGCGCCGCGCACATCCGTCTCGAACGCTGCGCACATCCGTCTCAAACGCTTCACAGCACTTTCTTTGTTCTAATTCTAAAACAAAAAAGAGGCTTATGCTTGAGACTTTCTGCTTCCGTTCGGAAAGAAGAAGCTTCAACATATGCAGCAGCTGCACGGACGGACGGGTGTTCTGTTTCAGACTGCTCTGCTTCAGACTGCGGCAGATGTTTTGAGGTGTCTTTGTGTCTCTTCCAGAAAGAAGAAGCCCAGACATATGTAGCAGCTGCAGGGCTGGAGGGACGTCCCTTCTCAAAGTGTGGCTCTCGCGTGCGACCTCTTCGAGCTTCACGACCATAAGGTTAACAACTTGTGCAACGTGTGCACAGGTGAGGGGTCGTATTTTTTCCAGGACGATGGTTTCTCTGGACGCATTGTTGAAATTTACGGCAATACATTTTCGCATGCATGTCAGTTCATTCAGGCAGGCCTATGGGCAGTTGAGCGTACAATGGTGCATCTTCGGAATACTCTTGTTCTCCTCCGCCTCCTTTCCCTCCTCCTCCGTCTCTCCCACACCGGTTCGTATGGCATTCTCAGTCCCGTGCCTTTTCTGTATGCGTGTCCACGCTTCGGCCTCGAGCGCATCGTCAGAAATAGCAGCGGCATGCGATCACAGCAGGTGCAAATGCGACATAATACCTGATGCAAAGCTAAAGCGCAGACAACGATGCATGCCGCCCAAGGGACACGGCATCAATTCGGTGAGGCATTCTTCTGTTCACGCCTCGCCCTCATGAGGAGGATGCAAAAGGTTCAGTCCGCAATCGACCATGTCGCCGGCACGAGCACAGCAGGCACATGACATGAAAAGGACACTCGCCTGTCAGCGGGTGGCCCACGGAAGCCTCTTACTCGCTCGATCGCCGCCAGGGGCCACGGAGGCTCTGGTGCACCTTATGCCCTGGCACACCTCATGAAGCTCAAGGCTCGACGACGAACGTGCCTCTGGAGTACTTATAGCAGGATTTGTTATCTCTCCCTCCACTCCCTTCCTCCCTCCCTCCCTCCCTCCCCCCTCCCTCCCTCCTCCTCCTCCTCCTCCTCCTCCTCCTCCTCCTCCTCCTCCTCCTCCTCCTCCTCCTCCTCCTGTAAGTCCTGCCCTGGACCTTTGCCTTCTGGCATGTCATTCGCTCTTCCGCTGCGCCATCTCCGAGATTAGGAGCCCGACTTCTGGTGGGCGTCGCTTGAAGATCTACGTGGTCTGAGAGCTCTCTGGCCGTTCTGGGGCTCCCTCCTCCTCCCTTCTTGCCCGTCTTCTGCCTCGCCGCAAGTCGCCGCGGACGCGTCCCGCCCCAGGCCCGACCGCTTCTTGGACCCAACTCGCCGCAGACCAAACAGAGTGTGTCAGCTGTAAGTTCACGTCCGTGCCGCCCAGGACCGCTACGCGTACCGCGACGTCATGACGGACGTGATCATCCAGCACCTGGTCACCGAGCAGAAGGCTCCACCCGGGCGCCCGCACCCAGCTCTGGTCGTGCCACCGCCGCCGGCGGCCTCGACCGTGTCGTGGCGGCGACGACCGCGGCGAGGATCCGTGATCGAGAATCTACCTGGAGGCCAGACCTCTGGGGGTCGCGAGACGTCCGCGGCGGACGGTCTTTTCGACGGTTTCTGTCGGCCCCTGGAGGCCCTCGCCGTGCCTCGGGTCTGCCCCTCGCTTCCCCTGGGGCTGCCTCCCCAGCTCCGCCTTCCCCAGGCCCCTGGGCGTTGGAGCGTGTTTCTCTGTTACTCGGGGCATAGTGTTGGTTTCCCTGAGAGTGACACCAACACCAATATCGGCGGTGTTCCTCCACCGAGGGAAGAAGATCCCGATCTCGGTGATGGTGGTAATATTCTGGCTTCCAAGGTGACCGGAATATTACCACCAACACCGAAATCTAGGATTATCTCCCCCTTGTGGAGGCAGCCCCCTGTCTTGGTGTTGATGCCCATTTCCAGGCCTCCAAATAGCCACCGGCCCCCCCCCCCCCTAACGCCCCTCCCCCTCCAGCGCGCTCCGGGCACTGCCGCCGCCGTGCGCACGGCGGCGGGGGGGGGCCCCAGGAGCGTCAGCTAACGACTCTGGGGAAGGGGCCCAGCCTCTGGAGGTCGGCTTTTTTTGCTAACAACAAATGAACTTAAAAAAAGAAAACAATCTTTTATATACAAACAAAAAACCAAAACAAGCAAAGCAACAGCTCACGACGTCTGGAGCCTGGGAAGCTGGACACATAAGGGCGCTGCTCGAAATTCAGTTCGCTCTCCAACAGATCGAGGTGCCGCGGTCGGCCTTTCGGGAGACCGCGCCAAAACTGCAGCCAGAGGTGGTGCCCTGGGCCCCACATCCTCGTGCTCCCCGCTGTCGCCCCAGCGAACAGCGCCGACGTCGGGAACAGATGCCCGCGCGCACATGACGCGGCCGGCCCGGGAGAGAACTGGGCACACATGTGGCCAGACGTCGTTCCAGCGCTCGGCCCTTCCATGGGCCGAGCGTGTGGCCTGCAGATGTTCCGCACGTGAATCCAAAAACGCGTGCGCTGCTTGGGGCTTCCGGAGACCTCCGCGACAACCTCCGAAGGCTGCAGTGCCCTAAGCGATGATCCTCAGGACGTTGTGTTGGCCCCGTATGTGTTTACCCCCTTCTGCCCAACCAGTAGATCATTACATCTCCTTCCTATCGAAGGGCCTCGATGGACAAACAAACGTTCGGGCTAACACACGTTCTGAGGATCATCGACCTAGCTGGGGCGAGTTCCTGCAAGTGATTGCTGGGTGGAGCTCCATTCCTGCCAAGATTGTGTTCGGTAGTGTGGTGTGGCGGACATGTTCCAGCAACCCGCAACCAGGATGAAAGAGTCCTTCGCCAACTGGAACAGGTTTTGAGCACCCAACGTCAATTCCAGCAGTTTTTGCAGCGGCTCGTGCCGCGAGGAAAAACCGCCTGGCGGAGTCGTGCAGGGAATTGCGCGAGTTGTTCGCCACGTTTGGGCTATTTTGCTACAGGGTTTGGCGAGGAAGCACACCAACATCATTACATTGTCGGACCACGTCTCCCACTCAAGGTGAACATGTTCTGTTCTCTCTTCCTGTTCTCCCTGTCCTCCTGCTGTTAGGAACTATTGTGGTTCCACGGACACGGTGGCTGCTTGGCCACCGTCTCATGAGATGTAAGCGTACTGCTCGGGATCGACCTGACCACCCGACCACGAGTACTACAACACATTATGCCGTTCGGCGTTCATGGTATTTACTTGTCTCACGTCGAGTGTCTGCGTAGGGGTGCTCTCGACCCGCAGACCAACAAAAAGTGTCTGCGTAGGGGCTTTAGGCTGATCTTTTCATAGTGCTCGATGTACCTGCAGCTGCTGTGATGCGCGCGTCACTGGCGATCAAGTGGACGTCGTGTTTCTTGGAGGAAGGGAAAAGATGCAGGTGCCGAATGGTTGGCTGTTTAATGCGCCACCTGTGGCCAGAGAAGACATGAAGGGTACAAGAAACATTCGCAATTCTTTGCCCAATGGTATTGAAGTCAGGATGGGTCCAACGGCGCTGAACATAGCATAACAAATTGCCAGCTCATGAGGCGGTACCAGCATCGATTTTTGTGTCACACGAGTTACTTCAACCCCGACGTCGTTGTTAGGTGTGGATCTGGCCAGACCCGATTTTCTCATACACATTGACGTACGGTGCGCTTGATCACAGAAAGTAGTGCCGTCTCTGTCGCCTCGTCTTTGCTTGCCTGTCTTACAGGCACCAGTTATCATCGAGAACCACAGAATATGTACCTTTAATAACACGATGAAGACGTGGCCTCACTTAGGTCCGCGTTGTCGCAATAGGGATAATAAATCTGGGCGGTTCGGCTTGATACATCTGCAGAAGAAGACCCCCTATCCCTTATGTTTCTGGCCCTCCTACGGGGGACTCTTATTGTACTGTTCACCAAGTGATTCACATTCGCTTCGCGGTGAGGTGTGTAAAGTGTAAAGGAAAGACACCCAAACAACAGCAACAACACAACGCCCCCCCCTGTCGCCGCTGGCCCGCCGCCAACGCTCCCTGCGGGCTCGCCCCCCCCGCGGGCGCCGCGCAAGCCGAACGCGCAGAAGCAGGACCGCCTCGCCCACCCCCGCCCAAGCCTGGGAACAGGCCTCGTCGCTCACTCTGCGCTCCGACGCTGCGAGCAAAAAGTCCGCGAAAAATCACGACCGGAACCCCAGACCCCACTCTCCTGCCGCACCCTTGGGGCCGGTCCGACCCGTGATGGTCCCATGTAGGCCCGCCAGCGGGCAAGCTCGGCCGCTGGGAAGGTCCACAGGGGCCCGGCGACGGCCCCCAGACGCCGACGACGACGCGGACGCCTCCGCGTCGCCTCCCGTGGTGCGCCTGGGCCTCGGGGCCCTGCCCGCAGCCGCGGGGCGACGGCGCGAGCCCCAAGCCAGCGCGCGCCGGCGCCGGTGCGCGCCTCCAGGCCAGCGCGCGCGGCGGGCGCGCCCGCGCCGATGCCCCCGCGCCGCGGGCGCGCCCGCGCCGCGAGCTGCGAGGGGGGCGCGCCGCCGCACCCGGAGGCGCCGCGGTCGCGCTCGCCCGGGGCGCCCCACGCCGGGGCAGTGCTGGCCGGGATGTCTCGACGATCCCACCTATGGAGCGCGTTTCTTGCCTGCTTGGGGCGGCGTAGTGGGCATCATAGCCCCCGCCCACCCCCCTCCCCCAGGAGGAGGAGGAGGAAGAGGAGGAAGAGGAGGAGGAGGAGGAGGAGGAGGAGGAGGAGGAGGCCCCCTATGACGTGACGTCCCCCCCCCCCCCCAGTGCGCTCCGTGCACTGCCGCCGTGCGCACGGCGGGGGGGGGAGGCGTTACACTATCAGAGTGAGGGGGCTGAGCCGAACGGCCATTCACTGTCACTGGGTGCGTGGCTGAAGTGGAATTCCGCGATGCGGATTCTTGTTGTTCTTGTTGGTGGTGGTGGTGTTGGTGTTGGTGTTGGTGTTGGTGTTGTTTTTGCTGTTGTTTTTGTTGTTGTTGCTGTTGATGTTGTTGTTGTTGTTGCTGCTGTTGTTGTTGTTGTTGCTGCTGTTGCTGCTGCTGTTGTTGTTGTTGTTGTTGTTGTTGTGTTGGAAGTTGTTGTTGTTGTTGTTGAACATTATTAATTCTAAAGAATAATTATTGTTGGGACCCCTGGTGCACGGCCCCCCTGCGCCGCCTAGGCCGCAGCTACATTTTCATAATTTTCGTGAGGAAGCCTCAGGTAATTCGATGTGATCAAGATCCGGTTGTTTTGTTCCCCCCCGCTTTCCCTTGCAAAAAACACTATAAAATGACATTTCTTGTTCTAATATAATCAAATTTCAAGAATCCCTTGCAAAAAATAAGGTAAAGTGGACATTCGCGCGCGCAAGACGAAATCCTTCCAAAAGCTTAGTGTTCGGAGCGATTTTAACATAAAAACATCAAAAAACCAATGGTTTTTCAACAAAAAAATGTCAAAATCTCATCCCGCGCGCTCTTGCGGATTCGTAGGAAACCCAACACTTTTTAAACATTTCTGTCAAACGGGCTTTTGCGAGCAACTTTTTCGAACTTCTGCGACAACGGTTGCGCACCTGCCAGGGCCATCATCCCTGTCAAATAATACCATCCGCGCATGTGCCCAGCATGGCACAATTGCACCATGCTGGGCACATGCGCGCCCCGAATAAGTGACCAAGTTCTGTGGGTGCGTACCCCACGCCAGTGTAGTAGCCACGGTCGTCCGCACGCCACGAAGTGAAGTGTCCCAACGTCATAGGGCGGGAAGCTGGGTTTGGGTGGTCGCGAAGAGTCGTTTGGATATTTGGTAGAGCTTGTAATGCCCCCCCACGAAGTGGGGGTATTGCCTGGTGTCGTATGAAAACCCTGGCACTGGGGAGAACACCACGCGTTCGGGTAAAATGATTGTTGTTGTTGTTGTTGTTGTTGTTGTTGCTGGTTGTTTGTTGTTAGTTGTTTGTTGTTTGTTGTTTGTGTGTTGTCGGTGTTGTTGTGGTTGGTGATGTTTTTGTTGTCTGTTGTTTGTTGTTTGTTGTTTTCGTTGTTTGTTGTTTGTTGTTTATTGTCGTCGTCCCACCCGCGACCCGCCCCGCGACCCACCCCACGACCCACCCCACGACCCACTTGCGACCCACCCGCGACCCACCCCGCGACCCACCCGCGACCCACCCCGCGACCCACCATCGACCCACCCACGACCCACCCGCGACCCACCCCGCGACCCACCCCGCGACCCACTCCGAGACCCCCCCGGCGACCCACCCGCGACCCACCCGCGATCCACCCGCGACCCACCCGTGACCCACCCCGCGACCCACCCGCGACCCACCCGCGACCCACCCGCGACCCCCTGCGACTCATCCGACCCACCCGCGACCCACCCCGCGACCCATCCAAAATTTTCGGCGCTTGCGGCGGGTTTCTTTTGCAT